CGATCTCCAGGAAAAGGTCAAATGTGACAGATGGGTTTCTCACTTTAGAGTAACATTTCCATAAAAGTGTCCTGAATTAGCTGCAGGCAACACATCTCCTGCAGATGTCAGTGTTGTACTACATTTAAAGAACCAATGCAGACTTCATCATAGCATGGGGTAATGTTAAAAATCATAAATGCACGTAAAGCACACAGCAAAACTGATCACAGTGGTTGAAGGAGAAAAAGGTGAATGTCCTCGCATGGCCTAATCAGAGCCCAAACTTAAACCCCACTGAAAATCTGTGGAATGACTTGAAGACTGCAGTCCACAAACACTCACCATCAAATTGAACTGAACTTGAGCAGTTCTGTAAAGAAAACTGCGGGCAAATATTGCAAAGTCTAGATGTGCAGAGTTAGTAGAGACAAATCCCAACAGACTAAAGACTGTAATTAAAGCAAAATATGCTTCAATAAAATACTGACACATGGGGGTGATCCTTTTTCCAACTCAGTGATTCTGTGTTCTATTTATTTATTTATTTGTTTCTGACATATTGGTGTTATATCTTTCACTTGGATGTTATAAGTTGCACTGAGTAAATTCAGCTGGATAAAACAAAAACGGTGTCCGTCTTCATTTCAGCCTACAAAGCAACAAAATGTGATTATTTTAAAGGGGGGTGATTCTTTTCTAAACCCACTGTGTGTGTGTGATCAATTGACTCAAGTAATTTTGCTTCTCAAGTGACTGTATCTTGATTTAAGAACGTTAAAGCAATAAGCCCCAAGAAGCCATGGTTTACAGTGAATTTATAACAGCGTTGTGGGGCGTTGTTAGGCACGACGCGAAGCGGCTTATTGCTTTAATAAAACGGTTATTCCATATACGTAGTAAGGTTTCACAAAATAAAACAGAGCAAATAAAGTGTAATGATTTAAATAAAAACATTATTCTTACACCAAACAATGTAGTTCCTCAGAAACAGTTGTGGTTCCAACAAAGTGGTTGTTTGTAGTGTAATTTACAACAGCTTCAAATGCGGCTCAACCAATCAGAATCAAGGACCAGAACTCTCTGTTTTATAATTAGCTATTTGTACTGGAAAACAAGACAAAAATAATGAGGAAGAACCCTTTTTGTAGTCCAAAGAGTAGCTTGACTCTAGCTGAACTGCTTTATATGATGTGTATCTTGGCAAGCGTGTTTGACGCACCGGTGCTGTGTTGCTGCTGCTGCTGATGGCTGGCGTGTTGCTGTCGGCGTTGATCAGATCGCTGTGAGTCTGTGCCGGCGTGTAGAGCGTCAGGCTGTGATCCGGGACGCGGTTCTGTCCTGTGTAGTCTTGCATGGGAATCGCGGTGAAATCGGCGGGGATGCCGTTCTGCGGGGGATGAGCGAACTGCGGGGTGTAAGTCTGGGCCATCGCGTCCGCCGGATTGCTGGCCTCCTGATTACCCTGCAAATGAAAGCATACATTAAACCTCTGCGGCCTTCACACATATAGAGCCATATGCAGTGCTGGGTGTCTGATTACAAGTAATGTAGCATACGTAATCAGATTCCAAAAATGATGTACTTCTAATTAGATTATACGTGACCCTCGACCACAAAACCAGTCTTAAGTGTCAATTTTTTTGAAATTGAGATTTCTATACCACCTGAAAGCTGAATAAATAAGCTTGTATGGTTTATTAGGATCAGACAATATTTGGCCAAGATACAACTATTTGAAAATCTGGAATCTGAGGGTGCAAAAAAATCTAAATATTGAGAAAATCGTCTTTAAAGTTGTCCAAATGAAGTTCTTAGCAATGCATATTACTAATCAAAAATGAAGTTTTGATATATTTACGGTAGGAAATGTACAAAATATATTCATGGAACATGATCTTTACTTAATATCCTAATGATTTTTGGCATAAAAGAAAAATCGATAATTTTGACCCATACAATGTATTTTTGGCTATTGCTACAAATATACCCCAGCGACTTAAGACTGGTTTTGTGCTCCAGGGTCACATATATCTCTCGGCTGTGAAGCGATCTCTGCTCAGAAGAGTGTTTGGTCTGGTTCATATGGAGGATGAAGTGAACTCGCGCTCGCTTTCCCTCAGGCACTCGGAGATGAAGATATGAAGGATATGAATGCGTTAAAGATGCATGATCCTCATCTTGTTAATGGGACGGTTATTAAGAGTAATTATCTCTGATAGAAGAAAGATCGTTCCTGAGAGCTTGAGAGAATCTGTCTGGATCCGACAACAACAAACACTCACAAGATTTAAACTCTTCTTTATGTCTTAGTTATTTTGTTTTCCTGAAAAAAACAAAAAAAACATTTAAAAACTACTGTTTTTTTCTAAGACAAAACTTAAGATGGTTTCAAATTTCTGAAAAGAAGGTTCAGTTAACATTTATTTTATTTCAAGTAATAAAAATGCTTTTTTATGGTTTTATTTTTAATTTTAGTTTTAGTTCATGAACTAACTGCAGTGCACAGTTGTATTTATTGGTATTTATAACTATTTATTAGATAAAGATGAATAGATACTGCAACAAATTAATTGCTCATTGTTAGTCAATTTTAATTAACTAGTGTTAACTAATGTGACCGTATTGTAATGTAGTTTTTATTTTTGTTAAAATTTTAGTCATTTTGTTTTGAGTTTGTCATTTTTATTCTTTTTTTTTTTTTTCCAAACAAAACAAAATCACTGTAGATATTTAACTAATAAGTCAAATTAACCTCTAACCAGTCTTAAATCTGCAAAGTTAAGATATTTAATTAATTTATTGGGTTTTTCAAATATTATGCATATAATTAAAAAGGGTTAAAAATGGACCGGTGTAAAGTATTAGACAAAGGAACCTCACAGTACATGATCAGAAAATTCCAAGTCTGTCATTTAATTCTTAGGGCAAATGAAGATGTTCTCAAGCAAATCTCTCTCTACACTGAAACTTTAGATTGATGTTACATAATAATAATGGTGTGTGTGTGTGTGTGTGTCCTGCACACAGACACACACGATATTCAGCACTCACAAGCTCTAATGAGACCAAGTTAAGAAGTAAAACAATATGATGCAAACTGACAAAACCTCCCACAGCTGGCCTCATTACTGACCGCTGAGAGACTGAGACACGACACACTTCAGCGCCTGCCTCCAATTAAATGTCTTCAATTGGATGGAGCGCTGGTGACCACATACATCCCATAATTGATGCCACAGCCACTCTCACACTCTCTCTCTCTTTCTCTCTCTCTCTCTCTCTTTCTTTGTGTGTGTTTTATGTCTTCCTCAATCTCATTTAGATCAGTTTATCTGCATGTGTGTGAGCTGTTCTATTATAAAATCACCATCAGAAAATATTCAAATAAAACTGAATTCAAAATATATAATAGTATATAAGCTGTGTGAGTCTGTCATCTGATGAAGAGACTATACATACATATATATATATATATATA